CGGCCCGCTGGCGCGCGCGCCGCCCCACGCCGCGCTGCTGGCCGCCGCGCCCGCCTGGCTGGCCGCCACGGGCTGGGGCGTGGACCTGCACCTGTACGACCTCACTGAGCCAGCCGACCCCGCTGAGCCTGCTGATCTCGCCGAGCCCGCTGAGCTCTCCGAGCCTTCTGAACTCGCCGAGCCCGCTGAACTCGCCGAGCTCGCCGAGCTCACCGAGCCTACCGAGCCCGCCAAGCCCACGGAGCAGGTACTGTCCTATGGTTACTACTCTCAGTTACTGCTATCAACGACGTGTTAATTAAAACCTAACGTTTTTCTAAACCGTTTAACCTTTTCGTGTAAAGATGGATCAAAACTATGAAATACTTTACTAGGCTATAGTATATTTCAGGCTATTAAGAATAAGCAATCTGCAAGGTTGCGGCGATCTGCCATCTGATCGGCGCGTGGTGACAGATGATATTCCTTACAAATTTTATGATAAAAGGCAGGTTGATGTGGTATCTTTTGGTCACAAATATTTTATAAAATGTTTTTGAATGTTTTCCACGCGGTCAATATATTTCTGATATATTGGATTCCATACCTGAGCCGTATACTCCTGCTGGCTCCTGACTTAAGTGTAATAGGGTATTTTAAGAGGTTTTGCATCAGTGGAATTTTTTGAAAGACGCATTATATCGATATGTGTATCGAATACCAATTTACTGTCTTGATAGTAGTAGTCACGGAGAGTAGTGCACCTTGATAAGGGCTGACCCGCTAGAATATAATCTAAGTCATTTATTGACTTATTCTGTACAATTTTTATTCAGATTACGCCTATTTTGCGTTAACAAAACACACGCTTGTATAATTATATTCATACTGCGTCAAAATACAACATGATATAAGAATATACAGCACACGTATGTCTATGTCCGATATCCATCCATGTTGTGACGAATATTTGTTATACATTTTGTTATTGTGTAGGTTCCATGAACATCGGTCGGCTCTGAGAAGATGGCGCCGGCCAGTACTTACTACCTCTGTACGATGTACTTCCACCTCGACGGACGCACTGCGTGTCGCTGCGATACTTGTTTATACATTGTTCTCTTTATTGTTTAGTAATTACTACCTTAGTTTATTCATTGTTATACGAATGACGCGGCTGCCCGTGGTTCGGCTACTATTGTTTCAGTAACGGGGCGGAGTGGCCGGTCATGTGTAGTCTAGATAGGATTTGTTACATATCTGTTAACATTTCATATTCATATTAAGGTATGATCGTAATAAGACAAAACAAGGACAAAGTGCTATTATTGAAAGCGCAAATAAAGTGAGACATCGGCCCACTACGGGAGACCGACACCTACACACAGTAAGCACAAGCAATAATTAATCAAACGGATTAATTATTGTTGTAGTGTAAGTGACAGAACAAAACACCTGAACAGAATGTATAACTATAAATGAAATACTCACAAAGCATAAAAACATGCTCTATTTGATCCGGCGGCGCGCGGCGTCTAGCTGGCGGGCAAATGGCCTATAATTAATATTATAAGGTTTCTAACTTAATTTATAAACCTCAGACAGCTTCATTGTTGTTTATACCAAGTGGAGCAAAAGTAATGTTATAATTTGAACACGACGATATTTTTTAAAAGAAGCTTACGCATCTTTCCTTGTGGTCAGGCAAATGAAACAACTCGATCTTCATCTATATGTATATAAAAATGAATCCCTTTTTCCCTTGGTCACGGCATCACGCGTGAATGGCTGGAACGATTTCCCAATTTTTTTTGTATTTCTCACTATTAGGAGGAGGTTCATAAGACAGAAAAACACCTGAAAATCCTACGGGAACGGGATTGCGCGTACGAAGTCGCGGGCAGAAGCTAGTCTTTTATAAAACTTGGCCCCACACTAGAATTTTCGTTTATGTCTTAGGTACGTTTACAAACATACATATCACACCCAGACCCGGAACAACAATTTGTGGATCGCACAGAGCGATTTTCCGTTTGGGAATCGAACCTGCTACACTTCGCACATACATACATATATTGCAAATTAAATAAAAGCTTGTAAAGATGCACGCCTATAACAAAAGTAAACACTAATAATTTGCAATTACTAACTACATTTAAAAAAACTGACTTCAATCCTCTTTTTTTTAAGTCGATTAATTTATATCCTAAAACCTTCTCTTAGGTGCAACAAACACTTTTGTGAAAACCTCATCAAAATCGGTTCGGCCAATTGAGAGCTAATCGTGCACAAACATACATACATAAATGCGTACACCGTACAGGACAATGGGAGAACCTCCTTTGTTTAAAGTCAGCAAAAAAACTATAATTACTCATAAATAATATGCACTAATTATATGTAAAATAATTATATCGCCAAGTGATCACCTCCAGAGTTAATGCATTGTTACGCTCGTTGTAAAATGCGTGTTTTGTTGCGCGTTTACACGCGAGCTTCAGAAAAGCCTCATAAGCAGAAGACTGGTTCTGTAGATCGACGAGAACATAAATTTTTGATGTGTCAAATAAGTAGTAATAATAATCATACGTTATTGATGTGTGTGTCGCTCCATCGCTTGTTGGTATCTAATTCTCTATACAAGTACGACGTCATGAATGTGGACATTTTTTGATCTACGTCGTAAATATTAAAGCACGTTCACATTGTGACATTACTTTTGCCCGATCCGTTATAGTTTTTACAATCTTACGTTGAAATATCATTAGAATCTCATAATGTTAAACGTCAGTGTCGACGAAGATGTTGACCACGTGGTACAAGTGATAGATATAAGGACAGACCGTGCCTTGGTTGATAAATAAGTATAGTACATGTAAAATAAGGATGGCGCCATGATGAAATTTATAACAACCTGTGTATGTAGATTAAAGTGTAAGTTACTATACATTGGCTAGCACAAATGCATGTCATCATCTCTGTTATTTATACACAAGTTGAAAGTTTAATGGTTGTATTCCTGCCCTGCTGCAAAATGGTAGTGCCTACTTTAAAACCAATGTACATTATTTATTTTTTACTGATAATTGCACGTACAAGTGCTGTGCTGATTTGGCCGCACGGTCCTTTACGCTACTCATCTACGCCATATATAAAAATCTAGCTACTGCCGTATTCACGCGGTTTAATAGCCTTCCGCGATAAAGGAACTATCCTACACACAAAGCATCATTCAAATTGAAGCAGTAGTTCTGGAGATCAGCGCGTATCGCTGACTGGTGTCTGGCAGCCGGCCAGTATATTCCTGTGTAACGCGCCAACTCGACGACTCCAACGTCCACGGCGCGCTGCACTGCTCGACCTGCGTACTCTGCCCGTTGCCTCACACTAGATTTTTTGTCGTGGGTGCGTTTACAAACATACAATTTCACATACACATGACACTCGAAACAATTTCTGGATTACACAAATAATTACTCCATGATGCGGGAATCGAACCCTTACCTCCGAACCCGGAACCGAACCCGGAACCCTTTACACGTCCCATGCCCAGTCACTGCGCCAACTGAGCAGTCAAATTGTTAATTGATAAACCTTTTAAAAGCTGGGATAAGTTTGTTTCACGGGAAACGAACTCAAGTTGTAGGTATTCTTAATATCTGCCTCAACTCAAAGTTAGGAGTATGTAGGTATTGTTTATACAAACTTTGTTACAATAGAAGAGTAGCCAAAAGTTATCGCTTTAAAACGGTACACTTATTTAATACGGTATCTTAACAAAAGCTCGTCTTTTATTGAAGGCACGTCGCCGCTTCAGCCGTTGAGTTAGGTAGTTGTGGAATGTTCGAGTCGTCCGATAGGAACAGACTCGTGGCAATCAACGAGTTATTGATTGCCAGTTTCCAGTGATCGTGCTATAAGGTACAATACGGTAAAACGGAGTGAATAGGTACAGGAAAATTCTTCATAATATCCATTTACACTGTTTTACCCGGTACCTACTTATATTTTAATAAAAACTGAAGCGTGCTTCAGCAAGGGACTTTAGAATCGTTAATCTTAAGAAATAGTTTGGTTACGATTGAGTACCGATACCATAAAAGTATAATAATACCGTCGGGCAAAAATAAAAGTATGTTAATACTTTTTATACCAGTAATCTTACCTCATATTATCGCCGCTTTCAAGCCCGGTCTAAGCATAGTTTTACATTACAAAAACCACATTCCTAGTGTCAAATATTATAGGTTTCGCCAATAAAGCTACTCAATTTGAAAAAGCAATGTTTTATTTTCATAACATCATAATTTATTTATTTATTTATTTATTTATTTATTTATTTATTGAATGGTGAATCAACAGCTACATTACATAGATTTAGCAGAAAAATAGTAACAATGAGCCACTTATAGATTCACACGAATACTGACTTAATAGGTAACAGCTAAGACAAAATTAAAATTATAAATACATTAAAATCAGGCACACAGCAAGAAAATTATTAAAATAAAGACAAAAAAAAAAAAGAGAATACATATTTAAAAAATAAAATAAAATAAATAAAAAATCAGCCATTAAAAAAATCTCCACTTATCATCGTTCTAGCTTTCCTAAGGTTTGTACAAAAGATATCTATATCATGCTTGCTACTGATGTCGTTAAAAGTACGACAGGCTCGACACAAGAATGTAAAATGTCGTGGTGGCCCGGAGGTTTAAGACGCCCACTTCTCATGCATGAGGGTGCGGGTTCGAAACCTACCAACGGCAAGTACCAATGTGACTTTTTCCGAGTTATATGTACTTTCTAAGATTATTTAGACACCACTGACAAACGGTGAAGGAAAAACATCGTGAGGAAACCTGAACTTATAATTTCTAATTATAAGTTTGAAATCGCCAACCCGCATTGAGCAAGCGTGGTGATTAATGCTCTAACCTTCTCCGTGTGAAAAGAGGCTTTGCTCAACAGTGGGCATTTATAGGCTGTTGATGATGATGATGATGAAGTACCTCTATACCTCAGCGATGGAGTAAAAACGCTTGCCACGCCGTTCGCCACTAAGACAGATCAAATACATGAACAAAATTTATGATATTGCCCTATTTTCTCTTTTTTTTTAAATAAAACTTCTGTGTAAACATAATAATTTATTATTATCTAATTCTGTTATTAAATACATATTATAGTCGGTATCGAGCGGCTATGTGACAGTTGCGACTGACGAGCTCGGCAGCGCCTTGTGCTTGAAGCTTAAAACAGACATTCTTCGAAATCTGTCTCGTCTCACTAGTTCATGTATTATATATAGTACGCATCGACGCCGCTCGGCACTTACACTATGTAAGTAACGATAAACAAGTAATAAAAATCTAAAAAATAAAATATAAGTACAGGTCAGAACATAATTATATTATAAAGCTATATTTAAAATAGCATAGTTGTGTCTAATAAATGTATTTCTGTGATTAGTATAAAACACTGTAGAGCTTGATTTTTCGTTATTGTACTTTCTCGGATTGAAATAAACATATTAAATTAGCAGCTCGTCCTGCGACGACCGGACAGACTCGAAGGAGCGACAGATGTAGAGGCCGGCCGGCAGAACGACGCCGTCGTCAACGGAGAGAGGGGGGGGAGGCACGGGATCTATTGCGAACGAAACATAACAACCATCACAAAGTCAACGGGCGCCTGCTGGCCGCGACCGCCGCGCCGCCTTACGACTTCTTCCTGCAACACACAAGCAAAGCGTCAGGCGGGGCGCGGCGCGCGGCGGGGGGCGGGGCGGCACTCACTGCTCGTGGTTGTCCGTGTCCGAGTCGTCCAGCTCGGGCTTGGTGCGCCGCTTCTCGTACACCAGGATGATGGCGCACAGCACGAACACCTCGGCGCAGATGCCCAGGAAGGGCCACAGCGCCGCGTACATGTCCTTGACGCGCAGCGTGGTGGCGGCCAGCCCGTCGGCCGCCACGCACGAGTACACGCCCGCGTCCGCGCGCTGCGCCGCCTCCAGCACCAGCTCGGCGCCCGCCACGCCCTGCTCCGACCGCGCCAGCACGGCGCGCGCGCCCAGCGCCAGCGTCACGTCCGTCGCGTTGCCCTCCTCCGACGAGTTGGCCACCGTCCACTTCACCTCGGGGTACGGCTTGCCCACCACCTGCGTGGAATGTCCCATTGTAGCCCGTCGGCACGAGAGGGGCTTCGATGGCCTTCTTATTTATTACCACGTTTTCTCGTTTAGGGTTCGCTGCACTTTGCGGACCCGAAATGAGCTGTGGGCCTGTTTCACGACAGGACATCTTGTCACCGAATATAGCAGAGGCGCCATGTACGGTGGCAAAACGCCGTGACTGCTGTAGCGAGTGATTACTTATACATTTATACTCACCCTGCAGACGAGCTTAAGTTTCTGTCCTTCGACGACGTTAGTATTGGCGGGCAGCTTGGCGTACGGACGTCCGCGTAGCTCCCAGCCCTGCGCGGGCGCGGCGCCGCCGAGAGCGCAGGTGTAGTTGCCGAAGTCGTCCTCGGCGGAGCGTCCGTTGAGGCGGAACACGGCGCCGCCCTCCTCCAGCTTGTACCGCTCGTTGAGGTCCCATACTTCCGACACCACGGTGCCGTTCTTTCTCCTGCACATGTACACTCTCAATATACCACTTCACTTGTTATATACTTAATATTAAATATTAAAAAAATCGCTTGCCGGCAGATAGAGGCCACGTCTTGCTACCGCCCGCCAACACCAACAAACAACACACTATTTATGTGATTGCATTAGACAGAAGTAAAATGATAATAATTTTATAAACTACGTTTAAAAAAGCCGACTTCAAATCTCCCTTTTTTTTGGA